CCTCCCAGAAGGTAGTGGAAAGGGAATGGAGGAGAGGAAGGAAAACAAGCTAATACAGAACCAGGGCTCTACAACAGAGCCAGCTCTGTCCAAAGAACCATCACTCAAGGATTAGACTCTCTTGGAGGTGGTTTCTTTGGGCAAGAGTGTCTTTATATCTGCAAAGCTTTACAGTGCTTCCAGGTAGGAGGTAAGTGTAGAAACCTTTTTATAAGGTTCTATTTCAAGTGCTCGAGTTACCTTACAGTCTGGATGCAGCACTGTCATTCCTGCATGAAATATTCAAGGGATTATCTTGTAATCAACTGTCTAATCAGAACAGGTGATGGATCCTGCTTAGTCTTCAACCTTACAATTTAAACAATGCATTGGGAAGAAAAGTTATGGATGGCCAATGCCATCTGAGAAAGGACTTCTCTTTGTTAATGATAATTGGAGGGAGAGGTGATTAATTTGAGTTCAAGTATTTTTTCTTTTAGCCTATTTATGACACTATGATGGTTTCTCTAGTGTAAGAGGGAGAAATTGATTTATCCAATGACTGATTAAAGTCTGGTGGTTCTACCAGCTTGGAAATTAGGATTGCACATTTGGTCATGACTGGCAATAATAGAAGTGGTCTACAGCACAGGGAGATGTGCTGATGCACTGTGGTTGTGCTATCAAACATGCTGAGTATATAAAGGGAGCAGTGCAGCTGTTGTGTCCCAAAACTTGGGCTGGGTGATGTAAAATTTTCCCAGCAAGGCTAAAAAATACATATGCTGCTCTAAACTCATGAAATCACCCCATTCTTCTTAGTCCCTCCTTTGCAATGGCATTTCCTAATTTCTAAGTAATGTATCAACAAGTATCAAATCCTTTGTTCTTTTTACCCCCATAGTATCTTATGTTACTCTCAGAAGTTTTTAAAACAACTAATCCGTTTCCTAGATAGAGAACAAATCTACTGCTTTCTATACACTTATCTTGGGGAGAGGGAAATCTAAATTTTGTGGATGTAAAATAGAGTGATTTTCCGAATCTATGCTGCACCAACTAAGCACAAAACCAGAAAGGCATACCTGCTAATTTTGGAACAGTATAGGAATGTAGAGCCAGGTCCTGCTGGGATCCCTGTGGACTTATAGCTCTGCCTGCACAGGTTCAAATTACTAGCTCCTATAAGCAATAAGGATGGGTCCCTTACAGGTAATACAGTTAGCTCAGGTAATAAATAATATACACAGTATAAATATACACAGTATAAATAATATACACAGCAATATGATAGGAAGCAATATCCAGCTGGTTAGAATGGAACTGGGCCTGCAGTCTATTTTTAAGACTTTCCAATGGAGAAAATCATATCTTGGCTTCCCTGTGTTTCCTGAGGTACCTGGGTATGGTGATAGTTGATAATGCAGAGCTGTGACAAATAATACCAATATACCAGATTGTGTTTCACCTGCTGTAGAGGAGTGGTGCTTGCAAGTCTGTAAAAGTTAGCAGAGAGATTAGATGCTTTTAATTATTAAGAAGTTATATAAGACTCCTCCCCAAATCCATGTGACATTCCTGTAAATCTATCCTGTAGCATGCTCAGTGATCCAGCCAGTGTTCTGAAGTGGTGGGATGTGTTCCACATCATTGGTGGAAAGGCAAAGGCTAACAGTTCAAAACCATCAAGATTCACAAACTGTATGTATGAGTTGGAAAACAATATTCCTCAAAGCCTGGATTCTGCTGGAGAATGGCAATGGAGCAGTCAGATGTACATTGCTGTGTGATATGCTGGCACACTGCTACTCTTAGAGTACACAGCTCTCTGCTAGGCAGGTACTTGATTGTAGGCTTGACTATGCTCTTCACCTCTGCCAGGGAAAAATGCTTCTGAAAATATTGGAGTTGCACTAAATGCAACTGGTCTATATGAAAGGCAATGAAAACTGCATGGAAGGGTTCCAAGCTGATGGCCTCACTGGCACCACTGGAGCCTTAGAAAAAAAGACAGCTCTTTTGGGGCAGGACACCTGAAAAAGTTTGATTTTCATGCCAGCCAGCCAAGGCCAAAAACATATGTACCTGTTATGCATGCATCTGTTAAAAATGCTATAATATTACCTTCCTCTTTTTCTTTCCTGTCTGTCTGTTTCTATGACAAGATTTTCAAGGAAGAAGCTCCTTGAGTAGAACAGGGGCTTTGTATATATAGGTAATAGCCAGGCCTGAATAATAACATACAGACCACACCAAAGTCCACAGAACTGTATTCTGTAAGTAAAACCAGTAAGCTCTCATGGGCTATACCATGCTGATAAGCTGGTGGTTGACTGGTACAATTATCTGATTAGAAGACCTGTCTGCAGCCATGAAGCCTTAGGCTGCAATCCTGTCAGCTTTCATGAGCTAAGAGGGGTCAGTCTGGGTGATGCACCAATAGAAACAGGGACATTCCAGCAATGATAAGCAGAGAAGGAAGACATTGCTTTACACCCTATACACTCCTTTTCGTACAATAATGGAATCATAGAATGGTTTGAGTTGGAAGGGAACTTAAAGATCATCCAATTCCAACTCCCTGCCATAGGTAGGGACACCTTCCACTAGCCCAGGTTGCTCCAAGCTCCATCCAACCTGGCCTTGAACACTGTCAGGGATGATGCATCCACAGCTTCTCTGGGCAACATGTTCCAGTGCCTCAGCATCTTTGCAGTAAACAATTTCTTCCTAATACCTAATCAAAACCTGCTCTCTTTCAGTTCAAATCCATTTTCTCATCCTCTCTGATGTTGCAGGTTGCTCCACTGTAAGTTGCTTCGATGAACTTAAGCTGTGCAGCTGATTACCTGGGTGATCCAAACCTGTCTGTGAGGGAGCTTAATACCTGGAGGCAGCTACAAGAAGGAACCAGTCTGAGGATGGAGGTAAACTGGTGACAGAGATCTACTGCGGTAAGTGGGGCTGGTGTCAATTAAAACTTGGTTTCTCTCCCTGGTGCTACTGTGGTCCTATGGCAGAAGAAAGAGAGATGCATAGAAGGCCTGCACTTCTAGTACCCTCCAGCAATAGAGGATGAATAAGGAATAACGACAAAAAGGGCTTACAATTCAATGTGTGTCAAATCCACAGCTGAATTGCAAAAGAGAAGAAGCAGGGATCTGCCTGGTCCCTTTCAAAAAGGATCCAACTTGCTATTTTAGCTGAAATGACAGAAAGAGTTTTGTTCCCAAAGGGAGCCTTCTGTGTGGATGGGAATGTGTTTTGACCCATTTAATCATATGACAACTAGCATCCACTATTAAAAAAAACGTTGCTTAAATCTTGTCTCTCAAACACACAAATGGAATTAAGTCTTCCATCTCATATTTTTGAGAATTTAGTACATCCTAGCGAAACTGCTTCACTGGCACTAGATTCCTCCAGGATCATCAACACTCCAGAAAATCCTTTGTCTTCCATGGCTTGACCCGACCAAGTGGAATTTAAATCCCGGTAAATTTATCCCTGGCAGCAGTAACTAAATTCCACCTGCCACTGACAATTCTGCATTTGAATGAACTCTAACTTTTGTAGCTAATGCAACAGATGACATTCTGGTATCTGGAAATAAGGAGAGATTACCATTGATCTTTCTCCTTGAGTTGGTCTAGGAAAGTGCTGAAGTCAGTAAGAGCGAGCTGTCCTGAACCCCATTCACAAGTACTGAGGACTTGCAGAATTTACACAGCCTGTCCTCAGCACACAATTTCTTCGGATTCAGCTTAGGATAAACATGTATCTTCATTACAGAAAGATATTTGGTTGTCTGAGCCATAACCAGTATTCTTAGTGTACCAAGATGTGCTGGTTTTAGCCAGGATGGAGTTTCTCAGCAGCTAGTGTAGTGCAGTGTTTGGATTCAGAGTGATAATACAGTGATGTTTTGGGTTTGCTAAGTTGTGTTGTGTTTAAAATCAAGGACATTTTTCTTTCTTGTGTCTTACGCTCTGCCAGTGAGAAGGTACACAAGAAAACTGGGAGGGAGCATAGCCGGGACAGGTGAGCTGAAATAGCCAACGGCA